CAAAACCATACTGAGATTTTATCTCATTCCAGTTAGAATGGCAACCATCAAGAATACAAATGATAATAAATACCAGAGAGGATGGGGAGAAAAAGGAACCCTTTTACGCTGCCGATGGGTTAGTAAATTATTACAAACACTACGGAAATCAGCCAAGATTTGATTGGAACTAAGAATGGAACCACCATACAACCCAGTTATACCACTCCTTAATATTTACCCTAAAGAATTCAAGTCAGCATACTACAGTGATACATGCACACCCATGTTTATAGCAGCACAATTCACAATAGCTAAATTATGGAACCAGTCTGGGTGTCCATCAATGGATAATGGATCAAGAAGTGGTAGTTATACATAATGGAGTTTTATTTGGTCATAAAGAAGAATAAAATTATGTCATTTGTGGAAAAATGGATGAAACTTGAGATCATATATTAAGTGAAATAAGCCAAACTCTGAAAGTCAAAGGTCATATGTTTTCTCTCATAGGTAGAAGATAGAGAGGAAAAAAGAAAAGAAAGGTGGGGGCAGATTTCATGAAAATCCAAGGGAGATCAGTAGTATAGCGGAAAGGAACCAAGAGGTAGGAGGAGGGAGGGAAGGGGAAATACTGGGGTATGATATTGATCAGATTGTATTGTTATATTGTGTGCATGTATGAATATGTAACCACAAATCCCACCAATATGCATAATTAAAATGCACCAATAAAAATACAGGGAGAATGAAATATTACTTCATATCCATAAATTGGATAATATAAAAAAAAATGAAAAATTTCTTCAGAGGCAAAAACTACTAAATAATACCCAACAAATATTTATCCTGAGTGGCTCTATTTATTTATTATTTATTTACTTATTCTTATTCTAATTTATTATATATGACAGCAGAATGCATTACGATTCATATTACACATATAGAGCACAATTTTTCCTATCTCTGGTTGTACACAAAGTATATTCACACCATTTGTGTCTTCATACATGTACTTAGGGTAATGATGTCCATCTCATTTCATCATCTTTTTTTACCCCCATCCTCCCTCCCTTCCCTTCCTACCACTCTACCCTATCTAGAGTTCATCTAATCCTCCCATGCTCCCCCTCCCAACCTCACTATGAATCAGCCTCCTTATATCGGAGAAAACATTTGGCATTTGGTTTTTTTGGGATTGGCTAACTTCACTTAGCATTATCTTCTCCAACTCCATCCATTTACCTGCAAATGCCATGATTTTATTCTCTTTTATTGTTAGTAATATTCCATTGTGTATACATACCACATTTTCTTTATCCATTCATCTACTGAAGGGCATCTAGGTTGGTTCCACAGTTTAGTTATTGTGAATTGTGCTGCTATAAACATTCTGTGTCCTTGTAGTATGCTGTTTTTAAGTCCTTTGGGTATAGACCAAGGAGAGGGATAGCTGGGTCAAATGGTGGCTCCATTCCCAGCTTTCCAAGGAAATCTCCATACTGCTTTCCATATTGGCTACACCAATTTGCAGTCCCACCAGCAATGTATGAGTGTGCCTTTCCCCCCACATCCTCACCAACACTTATTGTTGTTTGTCTTCATAATAGGTGCCATTCTGACTGGAGTGAGATGAAATCTTAGAATAGTTTTGATTTGCATTTCTCTAATTGCTAGAGATGATGAACATTTTTTGATATATTTGTTGATTGATTGTACATCATCTTCTGAGAAGTGTCTGTTCAGGTCCTTGGCCCATTTATTGATTGGGCTATTTGCTTTTTTTGGTGTTTAGCTTCTTGAGTTCTTTATATACCCTAGAGTTTAGTGCTCTATCTGATGTGTGAGGGGTAAATTAAATCTTCTCGGCAAAAGAAACAATCAGTGAGGTGATTAGAGAACCCACATCCTGAGGCTCTATTTCTGTTAAAGGGATCGTGTTTCTTGTTAAAAACTTTCAACAAAGTTAACTAGAAACCTGGATGGGTTCACTGGATATAAAAAAGGGGGCAGTTTTGAAGGGGAAGAGGATTTGTCTTCATTGCTTTGACTGTAGTCATGCTTTCATGGATATACATGTCATTATTTATCAAATTGTACATTTTAATTATGCACAGGCATTGTATGTGAATTATACCTCAATAAAGCCAATTCAAGGGAAAAAAAAAAGTGGCTCCAAATCTCGGAGCCATTGTCAATGGATTTCTCATTCTCAAATGTAATCAGCTGCTTCCAATGTTGACCAATGACCATCTTCTCCTTTTGCAAACAAGCATTTCTTTTGAGCAAAAATTACCTGTTTCACATTTTGTTTGCAAATTCTAGTGCTGTAACATCCAAATATTGGTGCTAGAAAGACAAGTGTGTGCAAGGGTGACACCTTTACAGGAAGGGAAGCAGCATGTGAGAGGCCAGCTCACCCACATGTGTTGGCATGGCTGGGACCAGCACCTGGCATGTTCTGTGGTCAACTGAGTGCTTTTCCCAGGGCCTCCATTGGGAGGTGAGTCCATGTTCCCTTTGCTCTGCCATTTACGGTTGCTTCCTTTGAGCTCATTGCCAGTTTGTCTCTTGGGGCTGGGGAGTAACCTTTCCGGTATGTTGGGGGTCATGTTCATGATCATATAGCTCCAAATCAATACCCGGGCTCAGTCAAGGGCAAATGTCTTAGCTTCTTTGAGCTCATGTAACATGGGGGAGAAGGCAGCCTATTTCATGGGGCTGCCTGGTATGTTTTCAGACTCTGTCATTCACCCAATTTGTTTATATATTCTACAGGGGCCAAGCCAGCCTCGGAATGGTCTCTCACCCTGGGTGGGCAGAATTGATACCCATTCCACTTACTTTATAGCCCCTGAACCTGCTGGGGTATGGCTGGCTGGGCTGAGCTCAGCTCAGCTCCTCAGAAACAAATGGTACGGAGGGAAAGACGAATATGCTCAGCTTTCCAAAAGCAATCACCATGTGTGGTTATCAGAAAAATATTTCATTCAGCATCCTGGTGGAAGGAAGCAGAGATACAAATAAATCTGGAATTTATATTTTTCCTTGGGATAAATTATATGACATTAGTGGGTGCATAGCAGCTTTTCTTCCTGGATTATTTTCTGCACAGGTGACTACTAAAATGCACAGCTAGTCCCCAAGTGCCCATCAGCTCGCAGCCTGGGGAGCCAGCCCAGAGGCCTGTGGATTTCATGGTTTGAGGGAGCGATGTGCGCTCACACAGAAACAGGAAGTCAACTTTGATTTTCATTTGTCAATGGTGTGAGAAGGCGCTGTCACTCTGTCTCTACATTGTGTGATCCAGCCACCTCAGGCAGTAATCTCCACTGTGGGGTCACCTGAAGAGGCATGGAGAATAGGTGGCCTTGCTGAGCTGGGTTCCTTTCGAGCTGATCATGGCAACTAGTCCCTCATGGCCTAGCTTAGAAACTTCAGCCAGCTGTTTGTTAGCCAGTAGTAAAAACAGCAGCAGGGCTCTGCTGATTCTCAGATCTGGCGTCTACTGTGTGGGCCAGGTCTTGAAGCATGGGTACTTGGTCCATTCCCTTCTTTTGTTACACTGGCTTGGAGCAGGACAGCCATTTCTCCAGACCTGCTGATCCCAGGGAGGCAGGGCAGCCTCACACCAGCCCAGGGAGAGGGGAGAGGGAGGCAGAACACGTATTCTACCCATTAAGAGTCGCCTCCTTTGGCTGGGGTTATGGCTCAGTGGTAGTGCTCTTGCCTAGCCTGTGTAAGGCACTGGGTTTGATCCTCAGCACCACATACAATTAAATGAGATAAAGGGATTGTGTCCATGTACAACTCAAAAAGAATCCAGGCTAGCATTAGATACCTGAGTTTCCCAGTTGAGTGTTTGGAAACACACCACTTTCCTGCTTCTGGTTTAATGACTGGTAACATTTCCCATGGGGCAGTGTGGCGGGGTGGGGGGGGGGCAAATACCTACAGCTGTATCAGGAAGCAAATGAAGTCCTAGCTGTCTGACTTTGGGCCAAGTGTGTAACCGGGTCTCAAATACTCATCTGTGAGTCCCCATTGCACTCTATTCTTGTGGGGACTAAGTGAAAGAGTATAGGGGCATGTGGCACATTCTGTGTGCCCAGGTAATGCAGCTCTGATGCTTTTTCTGCTCATAAGTATCTTCTTAAACTTCTCCTTTTCAAGAACACCCTCTTTCCTAAGTTTCTAAAGTCTGGGGAAGAAAACAACTGCCAATCTCAACAGAAACCCGTGTCTAGGGCCATCCATGCCATGAGGTTCTTACCTCAGAAACAGAAGAGAGACCACAGGTTAGACCTGTATGGTCCTTTATCTCCAGTAGTGGCACTAATCAAAGTTATAGCCACACACTCTATTTCTTAGGTGTAATAAATTGGCTTAAAAAGCAAACATAGGGCTGGCGCTGTAGCTCAGTGGTCGAGTGCTTGCCTAGCCTGTGTGAGGCACTGGGTTTGATCCTCAGCACCACATACAAATAAACAAATAAAATAAAGGCATTCTGTCCATCTACAACTACAAACAAATTAAAAAAAAAAAAAGCAAACTGAGCTAGGGATTTACCTCTATGGTAGAGCACTTGCCTAGCATGTGTGAGTCCCTGGGTTTGATCCCTAGCACTGGAAAAAAAAAATCAGCTTTTTGTACAAACTGGAAGAGATTTGGAACATTTCTTGAGTCACATTAGACAAGAAACCAAAAAGTAACGTGTTTAGGAATACGTTCCCCAAACACCCGCTCAACTGGGGAACTCAAATGCCTGATGCTATCTGGATTCTTTACCAGAAGCTGACAGAGCTCAGAAATGTGCCAGAGCAGTGATGAGCCTGCTCCCTCCGCTGCTTTTATCTTCATGCTGGAGCCCAGAGTGTGGGTTTCATAGTGACCTGGAGGGCAAGGACATGCAGTATAGAATATGAGGCCCAACTCTGAGTCCATCAGAAGGAACACCCAAAGAGTTGTTTTTTTTTTTTTTTTAAATTTTTCTTAGCTGATTGGAAAGATAAAACAACTAGTCTCTAAAATCTTTAATTTATTTAAATCACATAAAAGTATTCCAAAGCCATAGGCATGATTATTTCCCAATAGAATCAAGAAGATTTTCAGTGTAGAAAACATCTCATGGAGATTTGAAATGTTTCACCTGTCATAAGCAACCAGAATTGACTCAGCCTTAGAGGACATTGCAGCTAAGCATGGGTTGTGCATCCCTCCTCCATGTCTCAGCTGACCATCCCTCTGGATGGTGGACACGCTCCTGAACAGCACCCCATCCAGAGGGATGGTCCACCTGGGCACTCACTAACCTGCTACTAAGTCAGCACAGCATTTACTTGCCTTTGACCCTGTGGAACATGACTTTTAGTACAAGCTCACGCAGTGAAACCACTAGTAGTGTCGTAAAAGCAGCCTGTCTTCTGTTACAACCAAGAGGCAGCAGTGGTGGTCAAGGGTGGGGGTGAGGGCTAGGGGGCTTCTGAGTGCTGCCCACTGGGCTCACTCTCCCGCCATTCCTCTGTTCATGCTGGCTCAGTGTGTCCAGGTGGGTTTTCTTTTCTGGATAAAGGCCTTGATTCCCTCCTGTGCATCCCCCAGGGCCAGGTTGTCCACCATGGCCTGGGAGGTGAGGTGGTAGGCTGTACCAAGATCCTGGGTCAGCTGCTTGTAGAACATGGCCTTGCCCAGAGACATCACGGGGCGGCTCAAGGAGGCGATCTTCCTGGCTATTCGCATGGTCTCTTCCTCCAGCTGCTCTTCTGGCACGACTTTGCTGAGCAGCCCATGGAGCAAGGCCTGCTGAGCAGAGATGGGCTCCCCAGTGCAAAGCATCTCCAAGGCGACCTGAGGGAGGAAGCAGGCGAGGTCACGAAGGCACCCTTGGTACCCTGCTGCCACTTCAGGCCCCCTTTCCATTCCACTCTCTTGAGGCTGTTGCTCTCCTCGCTTAAACTACACCTCAGCCAGTTATCTGCTTCTCAAATGACATGTCATCCACCACCCCTGATGTTGTCAATACCCTGACTCCTGCCAGGGACGAGATCAGATCTTTCCAAGAGCAAAGAAAAGTAGCCAGGGAGGGGAAAGGACTCCGGTCCTGCACAGATCAGACCACTGACTCTCTCGGAGTCAGGAGATTCCACCTGCCTCTTTCAAGAGCCAAGCACAGGACAGTGGCCCATCTGATGGGAGGCCACTGCAAACATGCTGCAGAGAGGCCCATTACCTGCCACAAACCAATGCAGGGGGCGGTCTCCACCCGGAGACAATCCACAGGTGCTGTTACCTCTATATGACCCAAAAGAACACCCTCCAGTCGGGGAGAAGAGGGAAAGACATTTAAAGAAAACGTCTTCCAGGATCAGATGTAGAACCTAGCATGTCCTTAACTTGCAATCAGGTAAGAGGTGACAGGGACAGGATGGCTCTGCCCTCCCACAGCCCTTTCCACAGATGTCAAGGCTGTGGAAAGAGGGAGTACCCCTCACTCTCTGCCTGGTCTTCTATTCAACAGCCTGTCACAAACTGGACCTGGATCTGTAAGTCCTCCATAAAGAGGAGTCCCCAGGTGCAGGGGGCACAGCGCAGGGGAACCTTCCCCTCCCCACACTTTTCACTCCCTCTCTGGTAGCATCTTTGTTGTTCCTTAAACTCGCCAAGTGTGCGGTCACCTCAGGGTCCTGTTTTTGCTGTTCCCTGTGCCTGGACGTCCTCTCCCAGGTGTCCTCATGGCCTGAATCTTATCTCAGTCTCTGCTCGTGTATCGCCTTATCCATGACCCTCCAGGATCGCAACATTAGAATTGTCAGATAACCCCCAACACTGTCCCCCTTTCTGGCTCTATTTTTATCTTTCCTGCTTCTCATCATTTAGCGCACTGTATATTTTACATGCTTATTTGTTGATGGTTTATTTGTTGCTTTGCTAGCATGTAAACTTTGCTAGAACAGGAAATGTACTTATTTATTTCATAGTGTTCTAAATACTTGTGAAGGCAGGCAGCCAGGCAAGAGTTGGCTATTGGTGGCACTGAGGACACGCCAAAAAGGTGCTACCACTTCCACCTGGCTCTTTCTCTTAGGCTGCTTAGTCTGGGAACCTGGCCACACAGAGGGGTTGTGCTAAATGAGCCAGCTGACAACCCCCACTGAGGCTCAGCTGAGGGGCCGCCTCAATAGCACCTTCAGATGAGTCCCCCAGCAGAGGCCATGGCACTGTGGAGCAGAGATAAGCCTTGGTGGCTGAGCCCGTCCAAATTGCCAATTCATGAGCTAACCAAGTTATTGTTGTTTTGAGCTATGAAGTTGTGGGTGGCTTGTTGTGCAGTAATAGATAACTAGAATTGCTTGCTATATGAATTTAGGAACCATTGGCCTTTAGAGCAACCTTGGTGATAATGACATTGTGGGCCAGAGAAGTTTTTGTTGTGTGGAACTGTTCTGGGTATGTAGGCAGTTCAGCAACATCCCTGACATTTGCCTGCTAGTTGTGACAATTAAAAAAAAAATGTCTCCAGATATTGCCATGTGTCCCTGAGACCAGAACTGCTCCTGGTTTAGAACCACTGATATAGATGGTCTCTCTGTCATGAGACTATATTGGATCACCTAGGGATCAAGATTTGATGGAGAGGAGAGGCCAGAAACCTGGCCAGAGGGCCTCTTCTCTATTCAGTGCCCGTGGAATCCCCACCCACTGGACTGGCAGTCAGGGACAGGTGATGTTGGTGTAAAGTTAAGGCCGTGGACTAAATCCCAACTTCTACTCTTTCAGAGAGGTAATCTGTTGGAGGGAGTGGGAATGTGACACCGTACGTTGCTTCGGGCAGACGACCAGAAAGAGCACCATCAGGGATGCCTGTCTGAACCCCTGGCTGAACATGGAGCTAAAAACTGGGTCCTGCTATTAATGGCTACTGAACTTGACCCTGCTGAAGACACCCAGGGGGTCACAGCACCAGGAGCAGGACAACATTCTGCTCCATCTCTGCCCCAGATCCTTAAGTCAGCTGGGACCCAGAGTAGAAGTCAAAGTAGAAAATTGTCACTGCATAGCTCAGTGGCCTTTTTCCTTCATCGACACATGTGGCTCTTGAGGAATTCATGGGTACCACGTAATGGGAAGTGGCCACCTGAAAAATGCATGCCACAATGGAGAAAACTAACCAAACAACAAAGAACAAGAGCCGGTCAGGCCCTGAGTCCTTCATCACTTGGCATGACCAAGATCTCAAATGAGTTTCAAAGAGTAGTTGAGAATGGGATCAGAGCTGGGAGAGAAAATGGTAGCAGTGCCCCTTCCTGGCTGGCTCAGCAGAGGGCATTTATTCCTTCCCATGCAGTGGGAATGGCAGTTTGGGCTGACGATTTGTCCGTGGGCACTGTCCCCTTATCAGGCACCTTCTGGCAGATGCCCTTCTCAGTGACTCTTTTTCCTTTCATGTTGCTCTGCCTCCCCTGAGTCTCCCTTTCTCTCTGTTCACCTTGTCCAGGGCCCCACTGTGCCATTTTAAATCACCTGGCAGCCTCAGATATTGGAGATCGACAAGATTCCAGGTGTGCCAAGACAGTTTCAGTGCAAACCTTTGGAGTTCAAGCATGGGGCAGGCTGCAGGCAGGGGTCCACACCTGCTGGGTGCCCAGCCTCTGAAAGACCCTGGGGCAAATTGCTTGTCACCTCACACTTCCTCAACAGGAACCCGTGGGTACAAATGACTGTCTCCTAGGATTGTTGTGAAGAAGAGCTAACTGATGGTGACAGGGCACACTGTCACATCAAGTGCAATGGAGATGCTAGGAAAAATGGTTCATTTGGGCAAAACATGGATCAGAAGAAATCGTGATGATTTGCTTGCAGGAGACAAGTGCAACGGACTTGGCATGAACCATGTATATGAAGGAAGGTGACCGGCTTCTGTGAGGGGGAACTCGAATCACACGTCCTCTGGTTCATTCCTTCAACAATATCTGTATAGAGAACCTACTGTAGTCAAGTGCTGTGCTATGGACTGAGAGGTGGCCCCCTGCCAAGTTTATAAGTTGAAGCCCTATGTCCCAGCATGATGGTATTTGGAAATTTGGTCTAAAAGGAGGTAATACAGGTTAAACGAGGTCATAAGGAAGGAAGGGGTCCCTATATGATGGGATTGGTGTCCTTATGAGAAGAGACACCAAAGCTCACTCACTCTCCACCATATGGGGGGCACAGTGTGAAGGTGGTGTTTGTTATGGCAGCCAGAGCTAATCCACAGGAATGCTATATATATATCTTAATTCTGGAGCGACTCCAAAAACTTGCTTAAAACAGTGAAAATAGGGCTGGGGTCATGGCTCAGGGGTAGAGCACTTGTCTAGCATGTGTGAGGCACAGGGTTCGATTCTCAGCACTGCATATAAATAAATAAAGATCCATTGACAACTAAAAATAAAAATAAAAAAGTGAAAATAGCTAATAAATCTCTAAGTTGAATCACTTCCAGAGAAAGTGGAATTCTACCTCCTGGAGATGCAGGAATAGTGCAGAACCCTCATTTGTCAGGCAGAGAAAGTTCTGCTTACAGTAGAAGCAAGAATTCAACAATCTCTTACATTCTTTTCTGCATTAAAGATCCTAATGTTATTATAGGACCTCTAAAAGTAAACAAGCAGGAAATGAACTTGAGCTATTACATGAGGGATTTCAACTAAATAGAAAAACGATTTTCCCTCACCCTTCAATTAGCCAATTAGAGAAGGACAAGCAGCCAGACATACAGACTTCTGCCAGCCTGCAGTATTGTGATGATTAAAGGTAACAGATGTAAAACTCATGATGCAGTGCTGGGTGCTCAGTCAGTGCCCAATAAATGCAGCAGCTAATATGAATGTACTTATTCTAACTGTGAATTCCTATGACTCTCTGACGTTGGCTTCTAGGCACTGAAGTCCTGGAAAGGGGATGATTGTTTGAAGCAGGGGTGTCACGGGGCTCCCTTAAGTAACACAGCTGACAAGATTGTGTACTATAGCACCCTGGGTTATCTCTCCTCACACTGTGCATGGTGTCCTAGTCCATTCAGGCTGTTATAAGACAGAATACCATCAACTGGGAAGTTCATCAGCCACAGAAATTTATTTTTCACAATTCTGGAAGCTGGAAAATCCAAGATCAAGTTAAAATCAGACTTGGGGTCCTGTGAGAACCTTCCAGGTTCATAGACTGATATTTTCTCCCTATGTCCTCATGGGGAAAATGGGCAGGACAGCTGTGTGGGGCCCCTTTTATAAGGGCACTAACCCCATTCATGAGGGCCCCACCATCGTGACCTCAACACCTCCCAAAGCCTCACCTTCTAAGGCGATCATCACTTTGGCGATCAGGTTTCATCGTAAGAAGTTGGGGGAACAGGAGCATTCAGACCATAGCGCTTGTCTCCCAGGATGCAAGGTGGCAGGGAGGAAGTGAGCACTGGAGGAAAGGGGAGGGGAAACAGAGCAGAACCCACAGGTGTGCACACGTGTTCCCGCTCACCCACAGCACTGGCAGTGCCAGTGCATAGGAGCCACCAGGAGGCAAGCTCCAGAGAAGAAGCATTCCCAGTGGAGGGTCATGGGCCTAACCCAACTGGGAACACAAGAAGCGTTCCTGAAACTCTTCTAGGAGCTCTTGAGCTGCATGTTCTCTAAGGCTGTACCTCCCAAGCCCTGATGTCCCTACCAGTCACTGCTAATCTGCAGTCCGTCTGCAGCAGGCCTGAGATGCTGCCTACCTCAGGCTTTCTGCTGAGCAGTAACAGACAGCGGCAGAGAGCCAACACTCTTTCCTGCTTGGAAATTCTACCCTGTTCCCATTAGACTCTTAGGAAATCAGATTCTACAGACACATGAAATTAAAATGCATAAACGGTTGGAAGCAAGGGCTCCTACCATGGTGAAAGGACTGGTTTGGGAAGTGATTTTTGGTTTTCCTCTTGCTCTCCGGGGATAACTGACTGTGTATTTATGAATGAGGCCTGCCCTGACTGGGGAGGGCAACAGCTGTACCAGGCTGGGTACCCATATGGCTCAATGAAGAGGCATTATTTAACTCATGCCAAAGGAGAGAAGCACTTCACAAATGAGCAAGATCATTCATGCCCAGACTCAGTCTGGTTTGACCACAAGGGCAGTTAGTTCACAGTCTAGGACACAGCCAAGCAGGTTCCCAGAGTGACCAGCAGAGGGCACTAGTCAACCACACATGTCCTCAGCCTGTGTGAAAAGGGTTGGGACTTCCAGTCCAGTCCAATTTGCAAAAGCACCTGCTCCCTACCTGAGAAGGAACAGAGGGACTTACACACTTGCTTCACAGACCTGTGTGTAATGTGCTAGCATGAGTGCAATCAAGAAAAGATGATAGTGCTTTTCGCTGGGTTTAGATTTTTTCGGTCAGGCTTAGTTGTTTTTTTTTTTTTAATATTTATTTTTTAGTTGTAAGTGGACACATACTTTTATTTTATTTTATTTTTTTATGTGGTGCTGAGGATCGAACCCAATGCCCCACGCATGCTAGGAGAGCTCTCTGCCACTGAGCTACAGCCCCAGGCTTATATTTTATGAATCCCAAATGTTTCTTCCTAAAGCAGGACACACATGCCACCTCTGCAGATCCAGAAACCTGGCAAAGGTCTTACGTTCTGACTGTTCCTCCTAAAAATTCCCTCTATCAATACTGCAATAATCACTAATGAGCCATTTCTGCTCATTAGTGTTGACCCCAAATCATATTCCAGATTCATGCCCCCAAGTAGTCCAGTATTAATGAGTCCATTGTGACAGGACTATGAACTGTTTTCAGCTGCTGATTAGGGAAAAAAAAAACACAAAAAAACTGAGGTTTTGAGTCAAGTGACTCAGAAGCCTTCTGGGGGTCAGAGCACAAGACCCAGAATCTGAGTTAGACAATTCAGGAGATTCTTTGCCCCATCCTCTGGGAGGCCTGGCTCTTTGACCAAACTGTCTCTGGGAGGGAAAAGCCACCTTGATTCTTACAACCTCCCTGTACCTTCATCTGTCACACTGGACAACTGTACAATGAGGTTCTGAGAACTGGGCTTCCTGGGATCGTAAGTCCTACCTTTTTTTTTTTTTTGTTACATTTACCCCTCTATCTTCTCAAAAACTAATTTAAAATTTCATTAATATGATACAGTGTTAAGTTTCTAATAAGCCTTGATTTCAAAAGTTTATTTTAAGAAAAAATGGTTTTTTTATCCTGACACTATGACTGATTTAAAGGTTTCAAATGCTTTACCATGGAACCTTCCAGCAAGTCAGGTGTTGAAGAGGATGCACAGCTACCTGGCAGTACACCTGCTTTTTGGTATGCAAAGTCTTCATGATTTGATTTGCAGCTAGAATATAGTTAATTAGTGAGCTCTGTCAATAGATTTGCAATACATCTTAATTTAACACACTGGCAAGAAGTAGCAACCTCAAAAACACTTAGTGAATGAATATCTATACATTTAGAGAAAACATTGATCTTGACAGAATAAAAAAGTCCCATTGTTGGAGGACATTTTAGCAAGCTATCACCTTTTGCAGTGTGGATCCCACTTCCTGGTAATTTTCTAAGGTGTACATGCTTGTGGGTATCTGTTTTCATAATCTGCTCATAAACACACATCTCTATAAAAACTCATAAGGAGGCAATATAGAAGAAAGGAGTGTTCCCTAATTTTCTTGGCCTTATTTGATTGATTCCTCTTGGGTCTCATTTCTTTTGAGCCTGAGGTATGTCAGCAGTTGCTAATTTTGTAGTTGTTGCTAGAATAGATAATATATTCTAGAAAGCAATCTAGTTCCTTACTTGCCATATTTATGACTTTGCCCCCCTTTTATAGATTTCCAACTGAGAATGAGGATGCACTTCTCCTAGAACAAAGGCATTGTGGGTATACACGTAAGGGATGCTCAGTAAATATTATTTTATGATATTTTCAGGAAGGAAGAAAGCTTTGAGGTGAAAATGGACTTCACTGTAGTCAGCAAAGAAAAGACAACTTTATAACATGTCCCCTTCTCAGACAGATTCAACACACCATGCACAGGATATTCATGTTCCTGAAATGCAACCACAGTTAACTAGATACACTCAGTAAATCATCTACTGGATCCTTTCTGGAACAAGAAAGGTTGTCCACATGTGGCTGACTAGTGACACCATTCCAGCCTCTTGATTCTGGAAGTATATAGGCACGCTATGGTATTTCATGGTCAACCATTCAGTGCAATGAAACGCAGCCTCCACTGCATTTCAAATAAAATTACAAAAATAATGTCTGTGCAAGGAAAACAAACAAACTGAAAAACCTAACTAGTCATACTGAGGGGCATGTAAGATTGAAATGTGGTAAACTCACAAATTGATATCCAGTGTGAGAAGCTACGGAGGAGCAAGCAGTCGCCTCTCCCTCTCTGACATTATAAGGAACACTTGGCACATCCAGCCAAAGAGCCTTTGGGCAGAATATCCTGATACAATTAGTACTTTTTATAAGCTAATTCTCACAGGGCTAGAGAAAAAATTAGAAAGAGGTCAGAAGATGAGTTACCTTTCTGGGCACTGCTCTCCCCAAGGCGACCCCAGGGGTGGAGCAGAAGAGCCCCACGTTCACCCCTGGAGTGGCGAAAGAGGACTTGTCGCTGGCCACGGCAATGTCGCAGCTGGCAACCAGCTGACAACCGGCCGCTGTGGCCAAGCCATTGATCATGGCAATGATGGGGACCGGGTGGTTCCGGATCAGCATCATGACCTGCAGAAGGAGACACACCCACTTCACTTGCATGCAGAGTCAGGAGCCACGTTAATACCTGTTATTTTATATGACTTTTCTGTTTCCAGAACAATTTTCATATGATTCTATGCAAAAAAGAATGAGAGCACTAACTTGTACTAGATATCCACGCTGAAGCATCTTTTGGTCTTTCTGGGAGCTCCATGTGGAAGGAACCCCATTTGGTAGCAAGGACATGAAGCTCAGAGGGTGGAAATCACTTGGCTCAGGCCAGTGAGGGGAGTGGAAGCCACGGGCTGAGCCCAGCTCTGTGAGGGGGTCCCCTCCGCCTTCTTCCCCAGCACTCCCACTAAAAACAGTGTGGATTTTTGTCTCTGGGGAACAAACAAAAGCTTTCACAAATAGTTCTGTTCTCCCTGTGCCTGTGTGAAGCCCCTGTGTTAAAAGTCTGAAACTGGTATTTGGTGCTTCCTTGAAAAATTAAGGTGGAAAAGGACTTGAAGGCAATTTCCTTAGTAATTACTTCTCAAATTACCACCATGAATGCTCTCTCAGTTCTATTAAAATGGGAGAAGGGGACACCCCGCTGTCATCAAAATAAACAAAATTCTTGAAACAGCCATTGGCACCGAGAGGGGAGACCAAAGTGTGCTCATGTGACCTTCACCGCATAAATTGCCAGAACTTTAACTTATTTTTGCAGCTTATTTTTTTCTTGATGCTCTAAACAGATTGTGTTGCTATGGCAACTTCAATTTCTAAATCATTGCTCTTTGAACCTTGGCAGAGAGGAAGGGAAGAGAGGAACCAAATCTGGGTTTTTCCCCAAGGCGGCAATTCAAAGAAAAATGACCTTCATGATTTGAAGATTTTTGCTTAGGAAACTTATTTTTTTATATTCATAAACATTTGAAATTGGATAGCTTTTTTTTCTAAAATAACCAGTGACACAGGCGCTGAGTAATGACATTTTGATCAGGTACAGACTGTGTATAGGACCGTGGTCCCATAAGGTAGAAATAGAGGGGCTGGGGTTGTGGCTCAGTGGTGGAGCGCTTGTCTAGTGTGTGTGAGGCATTGGGTTTGATCCTCAGCACCACATATAAACAAACAAACAAATAAATAAATAAAGGTATTGCATCCATCTACAACTAAAAATATATATTTTTAAAAAGATATTAATGGAGCTGGGAAATTCCTGTCATCTGGTGACCCCGTAGCTATCATAACACCATAGTGCAAAGCACTGCTCATGAGTCTGGGGTGATGCTGGGGTCAGCTGGCCTACTGCACTACATATGCTAAGGAAGCACTGCACACAGAATTGGGCACAGTACATAATGCTTGGCAAAGACAAAAAACAGCTGCTATTGCTCGATGTTCAGTATACACACTTTAAAAATTATGTTTGGTGCTGATGATAGAACCTGGGGCTTTGTGCATGCTAAGAACGTGGTCTACCACTGAGTGTGTCCCCAGCTCCCAGTTGTACTCTTTTATTAGTATTTTAGAGTGCACTCCTCCTATTTTTTAAAAAGCAAATTTACAGTAAAACTATATGCTACGTTACATAGGTGGCAGCCTCATGCACCTTGAGGTTATCTCGTCTCTTGTGCTTGATTAGTCTTGTGCCATTTTACTTTTCATGGTCTTGGGTGCAATGGGCTGTACCATACCTATACGCCACATAGCCTGGGTGGACAGTGGGCTATGTGTCTAGGATTGTGCAAGTTCACTCTACGATGTCAGTCCAATGGTGAGATCACCTAACAGCACATTTCTCAGATCTGTCCCCATCATGAAATGATACACTACTATATTTAAGGCTAGCACATCATATTTCATAGTAGTCTTTTTTTAACCTTTTTTTGGGGGGGTCATTTTTTAGAGAATCTGCTAGATACTAATAACTAATCTTCCCATAAATATGCATGCATGCACATACACACATACCTGTACACAAAACTGCTCATGAGTTGAGCAGGGTCGTGCACTTTAGAAAAAGGGTGGGGGTGGGCTTGTGATGAACTCATTCCCATGAACTGGAATAATGAAGGAAAGAATTCATAAGACCTTCTAAAGTCTTGCTGCCAAGAAAAGAAGTTTTGTTTAGTTCTGAATTTTGTTGTTCTCTTGTCCAGGAGTTACTTGTGAAAAGCCAGTCAATTGGGTTTAGAGTAGGCTCCTGTCTGCCATCTGTGAAGGACCAGGATTTCAGAAACTGGATAGAGAAATACTTGGGTTATATGGTCCATATTCAACAACATTAAAAATGCTTATACATTTGAACTAGGGATTATACTTCTAAGATAATAGGTATAAAGCTCCGAGGTCAAACATGCTCACCAAATCATTATTTTACAATAGGAAAAAAACCTTTTAAGTAATACAACTATATGAAAATAAGTAAATGGCTGCTATCATTGGGATGAGTGTCCCCCAAGAGTCCATTATTTAAAGGTTTGGTCCTGTGGCTGGGGTGGTGGCTCAGTGGTAGAGTGCTTGCTTAGCATGTGTGAGGCACTGGGTTTGATTCTCAGGATTGCATATAAAAAACCATAAAATAAAAGTCCATTGAAAACTTAAGAAAAAAAAAACAGTTTGGTGCTCAGGTGGTGCCGTTGGGAGGGGAGAGGACCTGTGAGAGGGAGGCCCTTGTGGGAAGTCATTGGTGGCACGCCCTCAAAAGGACTATAGAACCCTGATCTCTTTCTCGTTCTTTGCTTCATGACTCCTCATGTGATCGGTTTGTTCTGACACAAATTCCCTGCCACTGCCACCCAGCGTCCTCATCAAAGGCCCAAAGCAATGGACTTGAATTTCCAGAACCAGGAGGTAAACAAACCTTTTCTCTTAATAAGTTAATTGCCTTAAGTATTCAATTATAGTACTACAAAGTGACGAAAACAGTGGCTATGTAAACTCAACTAAATCCACTTAACAGAATGCAGCATTGTCGGTGGTGATGGTTAATTATTTTCTAAGGGAAACACCAGCTTGGCCATCCGGGCTCATGTAGTGGTCTGGAGGCAGCCTCCTGGAATGGGAGGCCCTATCTATCTGTCACTTACTTTCTGCCTAATCCTGGATGAATCACCTAACCCTTCAATTTTCACATCTGCAAAATCAGGATAATATCAGTACCAACCATATGAAACATGGTGATTATATAAATTAATATGTCTAGAGTACTCCAAATATTACCTGAAACATTCAGTTCTTTTTTTTTCCTGTTCTTTTTTTGTAGTTGTAGATGGACAGCATGCCTTTTATTTTATTATTTATTTTTATATAGTGCTAAGGACCCAACCCAGTGCCTCATACATGCTAGGCAAGTGCTCTACCACTGAGCCCCAGCCCCAGCCCTGGAACATTACAATACACAATTATATACTCTAATCACACCTATATGTGATTATTCAAACAAATAGGTACATAGGGAAAAGTATTAAAAATAAATGCAGCAAAATATTAGTTACAGGGGCTGGGGTTGTGGCTCAGTGGTAGGGCACTTGCCTAGCATGTGTGAGGCACTGGGTTTGATTCTCAGCACAGCATATAAATAAATGAATAAAATAAAGGTCCAACTAAAAAAGAAAAACACATAAAATATTAGTTACAGTTTTCTCTAGGTAGTATGATTATTGGGACAGAATGAATTCGGTATTTCATTGTTCAGTTCATGCATGAAAAAATTTGATTTTGGAAATGGCATTAGTAATTTATTTTTTTTCTTTGTTTTTCTAAATTTTCCAAAATTTTCTGTAATGAATACTTATAATTTTTATAATTAGAAATATTTTAAATAAAGTTAGAAGGCAAAGGGAACCTAGATAATAAGTAAAGATAATCAAACTCTTGGTCATCAGTTATACCTATGCTCTCACCTTCCAGAAGTAAGTACTGGTTTGGGTTCTACTTTAGAATGTGACATGATGTGCAGGCTGGCCCACCTGCGTTTAAAAGCACTATTAAGAGTTCCAAGTTATTTAGAAAAATGAGAGACTTTGTCCCACTGTCATTTCACTGATGGTGTGTAAGAAGAAAGAGAAGCATCTCCCTGAGGATGAAGTTTCCGTCAAATTTCAACAGGCATAAGAAGAAAGACTGATGATAAGCCTCTTGGGTGAGCCATCAGTGCTCCAGAAGGTCACTTTAGCTATTCTGTAACCAGGTTCTTCTTATTCTCCTTCTTAATTTGCCCTCCTCTTAATTTGTAAATAATTAACCATCATAGAGCACTTGGGGTCTGTAACAAATTTCCTAGAGTTTTTAGATGGCAAGCTAATTCAGATGCCTCTATCTTCCTTTCTAAAATCAAATTTTCTCGTGCATGAATTGAACAATGAAATATCGAGCTCATTCTGTTCCAATCTGCTTGTTGATTACACTTGGAAATTGAAAACTTGCACAAGTTCGTCGTGCTCGTATTTATTCAAGACGATCTGAATTTCTTAGAGATTGTGTTAAAGAAATCAATTCCATAGAACTCCTATTTCACTTTTAGGGCTAGGTCCCATTTATGTGTTGTCTTTCCCAGCGAGCCAGAGGCAGCCATAGAGTGGAAGCTTCCAAGAAACCGTCTTGGACTTGATCCTCTGAAGAAGCCCTGGCTGCTTCCCATGAGGCCCTTTGCCAACTTGTTCAGATCTCAGCTCATTGACATACTGCAGCAGAGTGATAAAAGCTGTCCCTTTAGGGAGGGCAGGAGGTGCTCCTGGTTCTCTTAATGTGTTTTAATTTTAACCACACACACAGGGTACTAGTAGAAGACTACTTTTTAGTCTGGGCACTGTGGTGCATGCCTGAAATCCCAGTGGCTTGGGAGGCTGAGGCAAGAGGATTGCTAGTTCAAAGCCAGCCTCAGCAGCTTGGTGAGGCCCTAAGCAACTCAGTGAGATCCTGTCTTTAAATAAAATGCAAAATAGGACTGGGGATGTAGCTCAGTGGTCCAGTGCCCCTGAGTTCAATACCCAGTACCAAAAAAAAAAAAAAAAAAAAAAAAAAAAAGAGAGAGAGAGAGAGAGAGAGAGAAAAGAAAAAGAAAATATCAAGATATCAAGTGTTGGCAAACTGTTGCATAAACATTAATAACATAGCAAACAAAAGCCTCAGTCCAAGCCCTAGCTTGCTTCCGCCTCCCCATGAAGCTTCAGGTAAACCACTTTTCCAGTTTGTCCTTCCATGAAATGAGAAAAGTATAATCTGATCTGCTGTGGGTTTCTGGAAGGACAAAGAAAACCAATGGTTGTCAAGAACGTGTCTATAACTCCTTCCTCTTTGCCTCTGTCTTGTCTGCATGGTAGCTGGCATTAAATATTAGTTGAATCATTAACCACCAAATAAACCAACATGTGAAGGAAAGATTAAGTTATCTCAGAGTCAGGTGATGGAATGTTTCACATGTCCTGCTTCCCAAGTAGACTTGCCAGTGTCAGTCTGGCAGGACCCTTTTCCTCTCTATATTTTCCTTAGTATTATGCTTGAAGTAGCATAAGTAAATGCTCATGAAACAAACAATGTGTTATCTAAAGTTGGATTCTATATTCAATTTTTTATTATCCAAGGGTTGAATTAACACATTTATAAATCAACCAAAGTTTTTTTTTTTTTAAAAAAAAACCCCTTTTCTTCCTCTAGTTATTGGCAATTTTTCTCCTTAATATGGTAAAAGGAGCAGAAAACAAGTAAAATTGAAGAGGTTAATTTTCCTCCGAGGCAGTGGTGATTATAAAGATTGGTTAATTTATTTAAACAATTATTATCATTTCTAGTTACAAATATTCTCTTTCCCATTAACAGGGTTGTTTTAATTTAAACATTTTAAAATTATCATTGCTTTAGGTCCTTCCTCCCTAAAGATGTACATTCTTATTCTTCCCTCTTGCTCAAAACCTGGACACCAAGGCACTTGCTCACGGTGCTGGACCTGGCTACAAAGAACCATTGGGTAATTTATTTTCTTTGGCACATAAAACCAGTAGCAAATTATGGTCACTTCTTAAAAGTATAATCCAAATAATTGCTGGGATGAAGGATTCACCGGTGACCGTGGTGGACAGGTTTCCTAGATAAAATCTGATCTGTAAACAAGGAGGCTGACCCAGGGTCTCAGGTTTGCAATGTCCACGCTTACCCTGGCTTACCTCAGAACAGATCCGAAACACTTCCACGTGATGATCATGGCCTTGCTCTTCTGTTAATTCCCTTAAATCATGACCAGAGGAAAACACAGGGCCCTCAGCTGTAAATGTTTCCAAGTGAGAAAAGAAAAGATGTCAACAGCAGGGGCAGATCACTCACTCATTTATCTACTCAGCAACTTTAATAACCAATCATATCTATGCAGAGAAAATGGCACAAGTTTAATAAGAATACTCTCGGGGCATGTGGAAAGTTACAGCCAGAATACTGTGATGGAAACACAAAGTGAAAGGTTTTGGTGACCAAGGGGAAGGCACTTATTTATTTATTTTCAGTACTGGGGATTGAATCCAAGGGTGCTCTTTCCCTGAGCTACATCCCCAGTCCATTTTTTCTTTTGAGGCAGGGTCTTGCTAAATTGCTGAGGCTGGCCTCAAACTTTCGATCCTCCTGCCCTAGCCTCTGGAATGGCTGGAATTACAGAAGTGCACCACAGTGCCTGGTAGGAAGGTACTTATAACAGAGATAACTGTCCCTCCAGTGTCCGGCTTCTGTTTTTGGACTCCATCTCGCCTGAGTGAACCAACTCACACAGGTCCTTGAAAACCACCATACCTTAGAAAATGTGCTTGTCATTTAGCATACAGGTGAAGGACACTCACAGGGGTTGAATCAGGAAGGTCAGAGTGTGAAAAAAGCTTGGGAACCATCTGGCTCAAGCTCTTTGTTTTACGGAGGGAGTGGAGGAGGTGGCTGCCCCCACTGTCATCTGCAACAAAATGCCATTCTACAGGTCAGCGGTGAACACTTTCTCATATTGATTGCCCTTTGGTTGTGGTTATTTGGACAGGCAATATATCACCTTTCCATGGGGGAGAAAGTAGTGTAGTTAAGAAGTTAGTGGCCATTTCTGCATCCAGGTTATACCTCACTCGGGTGCTGGATTCTACTAGTTCTAATTTTGTTTTCCTTCACCATATAAAACAGCTGAAAATTTCTATTTGGCCATTGCTAAGAAGGTAACATTTGGAGTATCTGCCTCCAGAAATATGATTCTTGATTTACAAAACAGACAAACAAAGCATCATAGAGCATTATCGTTATATTTTTCTGGAGTTCTTCCTTTGATTTTTTTTTTTTTGTACCAGAGATTGAACTCAGGGGGGCTTAACCACTGAGCCACATCTCCAACTCTTTTTAAAATTTTAGACAAGGTCTCACTAAGTTGTTGAGGCTGGCTTCAAACTTGCAGTCCTCCTGCCTCAGCCTCCCAAAGGGCTGAGATTATAGACATGCACCATTGCTCCTGACTTGGGGTTCTTCAAAATGCTGACATTACTGTTATTTGTACCACCATCAGCATCACATAAGAAGATAACTCTGTAAAAACTCCTACTGGAAAAAAAGCAAGGGAAGAAAGAGATGAGCAAATTGCAGCATGCTTTCTGGGACCATTAAAGATGACCCTGTGGATATTGGGTACAAGGCTTGGTAAGAACGGAAAAGACAAATATATCAAATGTTTGAACAACCAGGTCCTAGCTGACTGTGATTCACCAGAAGGATTAATGATTAAATTCATTTTGTAAAGTCCATGAAGAAATTGATTCTCTGATTTTTTTTTTTTTTAGTTGTTAGGGAAGAAACCCAGGACCTCATGCATGCTAGGTAAACAGTCCACCACTGAGCTATAGTGCCAGTTCTGATTTGATAGGAAGACCAGCATAGCAAAGTCCCACAATGCTTAGTATTTACTAAAGAGGAAAAAACACCTGTTTTCACTGAACAGGAATCTTTGCTACAAATTTCACACTAATAGTGTTAGGACCAAGTCCCCAGGTACTCAAGCATTTTCCACATCAAATATCTTTCAAAGGAACTTCAAAAACAATTCTCCAGTTAAGTAGGGAATGCCCTAGTTAACCAAAAAATCTTAAGGCACCTCCTCTGGGCACCGTGGGCCACTAAGGACAGACAAATACCTGAAATGATAATGACTTTCAGATCTTTGCTTTCAGCTTCATGAAGAATGTCATTTTGGAGAGATTTCAGCATTTCAAGTGACAGTGCATTCCTCTTCTTTGGATTGCTCAAGACAATATTCCTGTGAAACACATTTTATAATCCCTGGGTCATGCACCAGTCAGAACAAGTGAGGACCCCTGTGATTCCTTTCTAATTTGGGAGCTTTTAAAATCCAAGGGAAAAAAAGAAGTTTTGATGCTTAGTGCCAATTTTGTGTCTGTCAGCTCTCTGGAGTTACAGCTAAGTCAAAACAAAACAAAGACTTCCTGAATTGCAGGCTGGTTTTTCTCCCTCACCCCTTGATTTGTTTCTCCTTTCCCCCACATTTGCTGTCAGAAACAGGACTGCCACCTCCACAGAAGGGGCAAGTCACAACAATTCCAAACTCATCTCCGCCCATGGAGGATGTGAGTTTGGTATGACAGTGACAGCAGCCCGAGAAATGTGACAAACAGTGCCTACCTTCAACTTATTTCCTGGTGCTGTTCTTCACAATAAGGTTAGGAAAGGAGCCAAGAATGAAAATGCTCCCCAAACTCCTCCCACTCATCCCAAAGAAAAGGCAGCTGAGGTGCCACCGCCAATATGCACATACGAATGACAGCGATTTTTAAAAATCTGTCTGACAGTGGCGTCCCATAATTCTGCAAAATAATTTGCATTGTCTGAGAATGGGATAATGTATGTAGGAAAAAGAAAACCTACCAGAAGAGGGTGGACATTTCACTTCACAAAAAGCTGGCATTCAGAGGGGCTGTTTGCAATTTGAAAATATCGCACATGCTGAATAAAACAACCTGTATCATTTCCTTCCATGGAAATGTCTTTATTTTTTGCTCTTATAAGAAACGGGCAATGAATCAAACACGAGATTATTGTTACATATTTTAAATTTCCTATCAGTCTCCACCTACACATGCTTTCTGCCTTCCTTATTCTGTTTTGAATCTGATATTCCCATTGCTATGCAGTCAACTTGGCTTCTCCAGAAATAGCATTCTGTGCCATAGCATTTTGGAAAGCAACTTTGATGACTGAATTTATTTCAAGGCAGTGACCATTTTCTTTGGAATACCATTTCAGTTTTGCTGCAGTTCTCAGGTGGCTGTGATATTGTTTTCTTTCTCAAAAAGATATTCTCCCATATGTACAAAGATTACAACTGATCTGCTGATAGACTTCCAGACCTATATTTGGGGTAGTGGTAGCGGAGAGCTGCTTATTACGTTCCAATGGAATAACGAGTGTGCTCACTGTAATACATACAAAAAGCTGCCATCCCACTGGTGACACATGCTTAAATTAAATTCTAAGGCCTTAGGCAAAATTGTGCAGAAAGATTCCAGTCTGAATGCCCTTGCTGTATGCACCGTAGTATCGGTTCCCGAGTGTCCCATTAATCCTTTGTGCACACATTACACACACTGTCAGAGTGTTCTAAATTGTGAAGTTCAACCAAGTTGAAAAGTGTTCCCACCACTCCACTGAAAATCTTCTCACTGGTCATCTCCTAATTGCCAGAAGCAAACTCGCTGGCCATCTGGATCACTTTCTCTTCCTGGAAATATTCCTTCTTTTCTGTGGGTTTTTAATTTCTAATTTTTTTTTATTAGGTCCTTCTCTGGCCAACCCCTGTTGACTACTTTCACAAGCACTTAGCCTTCAGTTATCCCCTAAATGCTGGCAATCCTGAGTTCCATCCTTTGCCCTCTTGCTCTATAGGGTCTTGCCAGGCAATTTCATCAATGACCTTGACTTCAGCTGCTCCATCTATGCTGACAGCTCCCAGTCATTAGCCCTAGTTCAGCCCTCTCTCTAGAAGCCAAGATATGCATGTTCACTCAGATGTCTACTAGACAGCTCCACCTAGGTATTCCTGGGGCATCTTCCTCTCACTCCTGGACTTGCCCCTCTTCTCTTTCTCTTATCTCAGTGCTGCTGCTCAATTGCCCAAGCCAGAACCTGAAAGTCATTCTAGACTTCTGTCCTTTCCTTACTCTACCAGCCACCAAACCCTGTTCATAATATCTCCTAAAAATCTTACCATTCCGAACTCTCCCAGTGGCCGTCTTGGTTCAAAGCATCTGATGCCTCACATAAAAAGCGTCACCTACACCACCAAATCTACAAGGAAATTTCTTTCAGAATGAGTCACCACCAGGACATGCAACATAAATGTAGAGGCAAGAGCTATAAATGTCTGGATGATCTGCTGAAGATCATTGCTATAAACCACAGGAAGATCTGTGAAGTGAGGAACAGTCATGTCCACACATAGGAGACACTCAATAAATGTCAAATGAATTAGTGACAAAACTGCGTGTATGGCTTTCATAGCAATTCCATCAATCACAGTGGACTGACAACACATTGGCTCAGTGTCATTTCTCCATTAGATATGTAAAAATGTTGGGAACACAGAAGCAGCAGAGGGAATTCTGTCTGATTCCTGGTGATCCAACCTCCTGGCAAGTGGCCTTGAACAAGCAGTCACCTCTCTGAAAGTTGACTTCACTGTTAAACAGTTGTAATGTTATCTACCTTGCAGACCCTTGTAAAAATTAGGGATAAGGAATGCAGAGTGCCTGGTACAACACTCCATTCATAGTTGGCTCTTACTACCTGATGGCAGTATTGCCGTGAGGCACAGTTTTGAAAAGGGGCCGTTGAGGTGACCAAGTTGGTTGGGCCCACTAACAGTACCTAACACTACCGCTTTGACACTTGATTTGGGGTTTCCTTCCTAATATATGATTCCTAGAAATTATGATAGATTGCTCTAATCACTTCCCTTTCAGATTCATGTTTAATTCTGGAGAACTCAATCAGTACTTTCTTGTTAACTGGTTGCCATTACAGAAGTCAGGCTCCTGATCAGATATCTCCAGATGTATAGCAGCAGGACTGCCCTTAGAAACAGGAAAAAAGATCCTGTGTGGGCCTTGCACTTTGGAACACTGCTCTGGTCTTCTTCTGGCAATGTTCCTATTTGTCCCTACTAAGGGACAAGGAGTCCACAGGGCATGGGGTCACTCCCCTTCCTAGCCCCCCAACAGTTATAGAGATTCTAGAATTCCCTGCCCCTGTGCTGGGTTCCCCTAAGCCCAAGGATGATCAAGAACAATCATGTGCAGGAAGTGAGGGGATGGAGAGAATATGGGCATGCTGGCCCTGGAGATCTGAGACCCCTGGCAGGGCAGCAGGGCAGGGATGGAGGAAATGTAGGGGTGCAAGGAGCTGGGAAGAACTAGAAAAAGCCACAGGCCAGCAGTGACTCTCCACTCCGAGGGGGGAACACCTAGGAGTCTGAGGATTATAAATTCAAACACTGCCGTCCATGTCTGAAGGGATACTTGTCAGGGTGGGAGAATAAAAACACTTAAACAGCTTGATTTGAAACTTTAAAATTTTGAAACTTGCCTCCTTTTGTTTAGGGTCAGGACTGCACAATCTGTACTGCTCCACTGTCTAGTTGGCAGTTTGTGCACAGAAATGTCGGTGAGGTTTTTAGGCTTGTTGCTCAAAAGGGCAGCGCTCAGACCGGTGTATCCTTTATACTCTTTGGCCTGCTTTCGTCTCAGCACTTATGGGCGAGGGCTCAGGAGCCACTCAACTTAGTCTACCGTCACCCCGGAGCCAGGCCAAGCTTGTGAGGGTCCCGAGCCCTCTTGTGAAGGGCTTTCTCGAAGGCCCTGGCAGCGGTGGGCGCACTCAGAGCTGGCAAACCAGCCCTAGCGTGGCGAGGCCGTCCCGGGCTGTCCATTTACGTCACTCCCGCGTGTGTCTCGCTAGCGTGCCCAGGCAAGGGACAGTAATAAACTCAGTATGTAAGCAGGGATTCCTCCCCCAAGGAGATTTATCGGCCAGATTCGGCGGTGACGGACAATCGCCGGGTCAGTGGCGGCGAGGGTAGACCTGGCTGCCTGCCCAGCGCTCGGCGGACTCAGCGGGTGCCTGCTCTGCTCTGCTCTCCGGAGTCCTGGCCCCCAGCCCCCCGGGAGAGCCCCGTGCACGGCCCGCGGGCTGACCTGATGCCGTCCCGCTGCCGCGCGCTGGTGAGCCGCGGCTCGGACTCTGGCGGCCCGGTTGCCGCCAGCCCCCGGCTGCAGAAGCCAGCAGCGTGCAGGGTCCACGCGCGGCGCAGGAGCCAGCCGGGCCCCTTCACCCCGAAGGCCCATAGGCCGGCGACGAGGGCCATGGCAGCCAGAGAGCGGCCTGAGAGGCCACAGAAGATACGTGTCCAGGGGTGCAAGCTGCGACTCGGCAGGCGACGGGCGAGACCCTAGCGGGACCAACAGGCTAAGCCCAGGCCTTGCCGTTATTCCACTCTCAGGCTGGACTCCGCACCGTCCCGCCCCAGGCCGCCCGCCCTCTGGCACCCGCCGCGCCTGCCACCCCTGTCACTGGGCCCCCAGGATGCCCCGCCTCCAGGCGCCCGTAGTCCCTCCCGCCCCGCCCCAGGATGCCCAGCCCCGGGACGCCCCACCCCCGGAATGCCCCGCCCTAGGTGGCCCCTCCCCAGGATGCCCTGCCCAGGTCGTTCCGTCCTCCTGAAGCCCCGCCCCCAGAACGCCCTGTGCACCAGTGTTCCTGATCCTAGGTCTCCGGGCTCTGCTCTGGCTGCAGCGCTGCCGGTGAAGTACCCCGTAGACTAGCTCCGCTGTTTGGTTTAGCAAGGTTGAGAAAGAGTTTAAGGCAGGAGAAGACTGGGTCAGCTTGTTTCTTTTTGCACAAACACCAGGTATGTGCCAATGCCTAGATTAGAAAAATTAGTGTCATCAGGTGGAGAGTGGCGTGAGCCGGTTACAGATTGCTTCGCCCACATCGTCCACAGGAAACACTGCCTGGCCTTTTGGGCAATCGCAGATCACAACTGAGGTGAAGCCTACTGGGGATCCACATTTACAGCTTGTGTTTTATTTTTCAGCACTCAGAACAGAAAGAGAACTCTTTTCAGGGATCTCCATCGCTGGTGCCTGGTGCCAGACACACATCCTGCGGTGGAAAGCTTAGGGAGGGTGCGAGTATCTTCTTTGCTGTTTGGTAGTTGCTTCCTGCAAGTGTCAAATTCCCAAAGTATGGGGATTCGTGGAAGTCATGGAAAACATGGCCTTGGCCCTCGGTATGGTACTGGCTCTAAGGAAGATTCACGCTTTCCCTCGGAGTTTTGCAATGATAAATTATACAAAGGACATACTCCTCAAACGGCCACCGAGGTTAAGTAATGGCTTAAAATGGTCACAGTTGATTCCTTTGAGCGAGACTCCTTTTGATTCTTGGCTTCATGATTGGACAAATACTGTATATGGGACAATATTTTGAAATGTCAGTTGAGATCTCTGTCACCTCGGCTGCTCCCACTCCATTTCCTTGGTTCTTTCTCCAATCAGGAAACAGGCTCATTCCTCATTCATTGCCTGGATCCAGCAGAACTCAGGGGCCTAAAGTGGGGGCAATTCTTGGCTTCTGAGTTCTCAAAGCTCAGCACTTGGGAGTTGGAAAGAACACAAAGAAGGGGTAATGGTTTTGGGGAAGCATCTAATAATTCAGAACACAACCTCCAGTCTGAAGCAAGATTAAGATTTCCCATGTTAGCAGGAGGGGGTCAGGTAGAACTTGTAGGAAAAGCAGGAAGAGGGTACCTGTTGTGGGGGTTGGGGAAAGGTGCTGGGCCAAAGCCCCCTGGAGAATTGAAGTAGTGGGAAGCCCCAGATAGGAGGAAGGCAGTCTTTCCTTTGGTAGAACCTCAGAGAAATCAGAGAGATTCCAAGTGGAATGGGCTGTCTGGGTAGATGGGCCTGAATGCCACATAGTTTCTCATGGCCCAATGTGATGATGTAACGATAGAATGGTCCCTGTCCTCTGAGTGACATGTTGAAGACAAGGTAGAAATAAGGACATCTCACATGGATGACATCATCTGTGCTATAATTTGGATCTGAAATGTTCCCCAAAGATCCATATGTTAAAGGCTTTGTTTCCAGTCTGTGGCGCTCTTAGGAGGTGGCGTAATCTTTAAGAATTAGGTCATTTGGGGGCATGCCCTTGAAGAGGATAGTGAGAACTGACCTCTTCTTCTATCTTTGCTTCCTGAAGCCATGAGGTGAACAGGCCTCCTCTGCTACACTTTCCTGCCATGATGTACTATGCTACCATAGGCTCAAAGCAACTGACCATGGACTCAAAAGTTCTGAAACCATGAGCCAAAACAAACCTTTTCCCTTATTAAGTTGATTATCTCAGGTATTCTGTTATAATAACACAAAGCTCACACGATCTGTGTCCTTCAATTGTGCTAGAATAAGCTGAGGTAACAAAAACAATAGCCACAAAAGTAAATCTCAGTGGTTCAAACAACAAAGACTCTTATTTAAGCTACATGTCTACTGCAGATTAGCTAAAGCTCTGTGTGTCATGTCAGCACTGTCCTCACCTGGGAACTTGGGAGAAAGTTGCCAATAACAATGGCAGAGGAGGAAAAAAAAATAGAATGAGGAAAAGCATGAACTGGCACTTAAAAACTCCCTTCTGGAAATGCCACTTGCTTTCAAGTTTTATTTGCCAAAGCAAGTCCCATGATCCACTGAACTTCAGGTTTGTGGGGAAACACACCCCTCCTGTGTGTTTGGAAGAAGGGAACCAGAGGCTTTGCAGACAACCCTAAATGACTACCATGACCAGCAAGCACGGCACCTGGGTGTTATAAAATAACTTATTTTTCAGGGAGCAGGGATATAGTTCCCAATTGGCTTAGATGAAGCCTCTTAAGTTTCTGCTACTAGGCAGAATGGGAATTTGAAATAGAAATTAAGTGCACACATAAAATGATTTGTGTGTGTGTGTGTGTGTTGCTGGGAATCAAACTCAGGATCTTGAGCATGCTAGGTAAGCACTCTGCCTGTGAACTACATCCTCAGCCCAAGTCAAGTTTTTACAACACCTGAATTTGTGCTGGGATTTGTATGTGTCCTCTTAGTTATGCCAAGTGCCAGCAATGATGCAGCTCATGCAAGATCAAAAAGCACAATCAAAATGATCACTTCTGGGAGCCAAAGATATCTCTCACCTTCTTACTAAGGTTTGTTTTGCTGGGAGGACTGCACACTTGGTTGAGACAATAATAAGAGTTGGGGTAAAGAGAGAAATGGTGTACTTGGTGTCTTCAGGGGTTTGGTTTCAGGACTTGTGCAGATACCAAATATACAGAAAGCTCAAGTCTCTTAGTATAAAATGCTATATATCTGCATCTAAGCTACTCATAGGCTCTCAAATACTTTTAATCATCTCTACTTAGACTATAACTAAGACCCACACGTCACTTCATTCACCTGGATTATGTAGAACACTGCATGAGACAAATCCTTTGGCTTTTTGGAAATTCCTGCCATCCCCCTGGCCCCTGCCAGGTACTTTCAATTCATAGTTAGTAGACTCCTTAGTGTGGAACTTATAGACAGAATGTCTAGGGTTTTGAGAAAAGGAAGAAACTGCGAGTGCATTCAGAGCCTGAACATCATAGATGGAATTTAAAGTTTCAGAAACAACTTTCAATTCCAAATTTTATTTGATAACAGAACAGTGCCTTGTTATGGAATTCCCTGCTCTGTGCCAGTGTCAATACTTGGTGCTTTTACCCCTGCCATCTCTTTCAACATTCAGAATAACTCATGGGTAGCATTAGCCCAGTTGAGAGAGGTTCAGCAGCCATGTTAGCACCACGTGCAACAGATGTAGAGTTGGTGCTGGACCAGAGGTTGGCTGAAGATGTGCTGCAGATGGAGGCTCCTGTCCTCATATAAATTTCTTTGTCTGTTCCCCACTTCTCCTAATTTCTTTCAGAGCTGTAGTCCTGGTTTGAGAGTGACAAAAACAACAAGGAAGTGGCGAATGCATTATCCACGAATTGATATAACTTGCTAGAACACTAGAACATTCTTATAAGGAGCGAGACTCTTCAAATTCTGGCTACTTCCCTAGGCCACTTCTGCCTTTTTAATTTTCATAGGTACTGCTTGTCTTTTTTCTCTCTTGTTCAGTGTCCTTCTAATCTATTTTCCAGCTGGCCCTTCTCCCCGACACAATTTGATACCCAGGTTGCTAGCAATCTTTTCTCTGGCTTTGATGTGCTCCTTCCCTGGGCCACGTGGCTTTGCTGTGCAGATGTGTGTCTTTGCTACCTTTCCCTGTTTCCTTTAAAGACCCACAGATGCTTAGCAGAAAGTCGCAGAAATCACACAGAATAAAAAGGCAGTTCTAGGGAGCCTGCCGTCTCAGGTTTGATGTGGGCATGAAGGAAGAGTTAGACCTCCTCAGGGTGTAGAGAAAATAAAGTGAAGGGTAGATTTTAGCTTCTTATGGAGTGGTGTTTGAACTTTTTATTTCAGGCTTTTCTAAGTCAGACATGTGAAGGCTGGTTCAGAGGTACAGTGGGAGAGATGTTGGACTTGGCTCTGGTGAGCATCCCTCTGGCACCTGGCTAGAGCTCTAGTCCTGGACTTTACTCTCATCCTCCTTCCTGTGTCTGTCTCCCAAAGCCCAAAGGAAGGTCAAGCACCCAGAAAGCTTTCATACTTTCATGGCTTCATACAGCTGCGGATGCTTTTCAGTGCTCTATACTCTATTTACTATATTTTATTTTACTTGTAACCCAGCAGCCGTTACCCAAATGTCTTTGGCAAACTTAAATTTATTTTGAGGGACCCATGCTTCAAGTTGAGGGGAAATTAGTTTAGAAACTAACAGGCTGAGCCATGTGCGATGGTGCCCACCTGTAATCTCAGCAGTTTGGAAGGCTGAGGCAGGAGGATTTCGAGTTCAAAGCCAGCCTCAGCAATTTAGCAAGGCCCTAGGCAACTTAGTGACCCTGTCTCAAAATAAAACATCAAAGAGGGCTGGGAATGTGGCTCAAAAAAAAAAAAAAAAAAAAAAAAAAACAGAAAGAAAGAAACTAAACAAGTTCCTTTATTCCCATTTACCTTAGCACAGATTATGGAGTTGGCTCATTTGCCCTGAAGAAAACAAACTCAGTAGCTTCTGGTGAGAGATGTGGAAGAGTGGATATAAACTGCTAATGCTGTGTTTCGCAGCATGGTGGTCAGAGATAACAGGGGCCCACACCCCCTCTGAGACACTATCTACGCTGTTCCCAGAGTGATACTTCTAAATTGCAAATGGGATCAAGTTGTTACCAGCTTTCCATGGTGCTTAAAATCCAGGCTCACTGCCATGGCTTATAAGGGTGCCGGAGCTAGTGCCAATTTCCCCCTACACACCACTCACACCGGCCCTTTTTCCAGTTACTTTTTTTCCAGATTTTTTTTTTAATTTTTATTGTTGGTTGTTCAAAACATTACATAGCTCTTGACATATCATATTACACACGT